ACATGCCCACACTGTCACCCAGAAGCTCCCTATCAGGGGCCCCGGAGAAGATGCCAGGGGTGGATGGGGGCGGCGGGGCCACAGCTTGGACGCCACAGGTGGCCGAGGACCTGGCGCTGAGAGCCGGGGTCCCCGAAGGGACAGGGACGTGTGGGCAGCCGGTCTCTGGGGTCCCAAGGACAGAGGGTGGAGAGGGCAAGAAGGCAAATCCCCCATTAATCTGGCCAGGGTGAGCGTTGTTATTGTTATTATTATGAAGTATCTCAAGGCTCACACTTCTCCTGGCCTGGCCGGGCCCCGTTAATGGCCCCATAAATCCCAGCCATAAAGAGTAATGGGGGGAGACAAATGAGATAATTAGGAATAAATCTCACCGAGGTGTCTATTCAGCAGCGTCCCTGGAACTGGCCAATCTTCTGAGCCATTAGCTGGGCCCCTAATTAATGCCGAGCCGCCCGGCGCGGCTGCGGAGGCTCCGGCCTGGGAGGGCCCGGCTGCGGGCACAGGGCCCCTCAACCCTCTGCAGGCGACCTTGGAGGAGCAGGGACACGCGCCCCAGCCTGCCTGCCTGCTCTGCCGTCTCCAGGGCTCAGGGACGCTTTGTCTGCATTGTCCTATCTGCCTCCTTGTCTCTTCGCCTCCTTTCTTCATCTCACTCCTTCTCCTGTCCACCTTCTATCTCTACTTCCCTCTCTTTTTGAAACATATATTTTTATTGAGAGAGAGAGGAAGGGAGAGGGGAAGAGAGATAGAGGGGTAGAGGGGTCAATTGGCTGCCTCCTGCATGCCCCCTGCTGGGGTTCCAGCCCACAGCCCTGGCATGTGCCCTGACAGGGGATTGAACCAGCGACCTCTTGGTTCCTGGATCAATGCTCAACCACTGAGCCACACTGGCTGGGCTAATTCTCTGACACGGTGACTGGCCCAGGGATGAGCCTTAGCACCTTCCCTGGACCCCCTGGGCGGCCAATCTGAGAAATGCCAGGTAGGCCCAGCATATGACCTCCCGCCCACATCACACACCCCTGTCTGCAGTATAAAGGGAGGAGGCTGTAACCCAGAGAGAGGCACCCCCAGAGATGGCAGGGGTGCTACAGGGTCAGGGAGAGGAAGTAAAACCAGGTGAGGGTCAAGGAAAGTGGGGCAGGGCTTTCCCCCGAGGAGGTGGAAGGGGAGGGGATGGCAGGGCGGCAGGAGGGCTGTAGCCATAGGTATCATCTGTGCCGTGTCTCCATCCTCGGAAAGTCAAAAGGCGGGAAGGAGCATAAACACAGAGGTGACGGGGGAGGCCTGTGACCTCTGTCCCCTCCGCTGCCCCTGTGTGGCCTGAGGTTCCCGTCCCTGCTTCTTTCCCCCCTCCCCACTCCCTCCCCCCGCCCTTTGCGCTGGGCCAGTCCGGAGAGCTCCACGCCCACTCTGCCTTCCCACTGCCCAGCAAGTGTCCGGAGGGCCCGGGGAGCAGCCCTCAGGGCCCCGCTGCTGCCTCATCTCCCTGCGGGGTGGGGACTGGCGAAGGCCCAGGCATGGCCGGCTGCTAAGAGGGATCCCATCCCAGCAGCCTGGGGCCAGGGGGCGGCAGGGCCTGACGTTGGCTTTGCCCAGCTCCGGGCAGGGGCATAGAGAATGCAGTGAAATGCTCCATCAGACAGAAGCTGATGCCGAGGGGCGGCTGACCAACCCTTTCCTCAGGAGCCGGCCCCCGGCTCAGCTACTGGCTCAGCGTGGGCAGCAGTTCTGGGGTTTGGCGCCCGAGGTCCCCCGTGCACACAGGCCGTCCGGGCCAGGAACAACTCAATTTGGCCTCACTACCTCCTCCGCCCACACGTTGTTTTAGGTTAGGCATGAAGGGGGCCCCTCAAGAAGTCTCTTGGGCAAAAGGGGTGGGTCTGCAGCTCCACGGATGAAGGAGAACCAGAGAGGCAGGCCACCTCGGCCACCGCCGGATTCCCGGTCTCACTGCTGTCCACGAGGACACGGAGGCCCGGAGCGCGCAGGGCCTTCCCTGGGCCCACGGCAGAGCCGGGGCTGGACTGGCTGGTGGGAGAGCAGAGACGGAGTCGGCGGGGAAGGCTGGGGAGTGGAGGGGAAGGGGCTAGAGCACAGGCTGGCCTGGAAGGATGTCTCGGCAGCGTGGCGTGGGTGGGTGGCCTCTGAGACAAATGCCGTCTGCTTCCCAGCAGCATGAGGGCTCCTGGGTGAGATGGGGTGTGGGGGAGGCAGAGCAGCCTGGGTGAGATGGGGTGTGGGGGAGGCAGGGCTCCTGGGGAGACGGGGTGTGGGGGAGGCAGGGCAGCCTGGGAGAGACGGGGTGTAGGGGAGGCAGGGCTCCTGGGTGAGATGGGGTGTGGGGGAGGCAGGGCTCCAGGGGAGACGGGGTGTGGGGGAGGCAGGGCAGCCTGGGAGAGACGGGGTGTGGGGGAGGCAGGGCTCCTGGGTGAGATGGGGTGTGGGGGAGGCAGGGCTCCTGGGGGAGACGGGGTGTGGGGGAGGCAGGGCTCCTGGGGGAGACGGGGTGTGGGGGAGGCAGGGCTCCTGGGGGAGACGGGGTGTAGGGGAGGCAGGGCAGCCTGGTGAGGGGAGTGAGCACAGGGCTCAGTGGCACCATTCAGGCTGCCTGGGGCTGGCAGTGTTTGCAGGCGCTGAAACGTGAAGTGTGTGAGGGCATGTATATGTGTGTGTGCGGTGTGTGTGTGTGTGTGGTGTGTGTGACTTGTGGAATATATGTGAATAGTGACTGTAAGGGGAGTCTGTGTATATGTAAGTGAATGACTGTGTGTGAGTAAAAGACTATGTGAATATGTGTGAGTATGTGAGAGAGAGGGAGAGAGAGAGACAGAAAGGGAGAGAGAGAGTTTGTGTGTATGTGAGAGAGATTTTGTGGAATGTATGTGAGTAGTGACTGTAAGGAGAGTCCATGTATATGTAAGTGAATGACTGTGTGTGGGCGAAAGACTATGTGAATATGTGTGTGTATGTGTGTGAGAGTGAGTGTGCGTGTGTGTGTGTGTGTGTGTGTGTGTGTGTGTGAGCACGTCAGGGGGAGGCTGGCTAAATCCTGCCCGTCCCGCCCCCACCGCCCGGCTCTCTGGTTTCAGCTCTGGCCCTAAAGAAAACAGCCTGGCGGGAGCCTGCAGCAGGAAATCACTATTTGGACTGCAGAGGCGCCTCTTCCTGCCCTACGGAGGGAGAGGGCCCGGGAGGGGGCCTTCCTGCCCACCTGGACCAGACCTCTGGCTGGTCTGTAGCACTCCCCTCTTTCCTCCCCCCTCCTTCTCCCCCCCCACCCCACACCCGGCCCTCCCTCCGGCCTCCCAGCTCCCCAGCCTGAGGCTGAGCCCTCCCACCATTGTCCGTCCTCAGGACAAAGAGCAGCAGAGGCAGCAGCGGCAGAGGGGGGTATGTGTGTGAACAGACTGGCACACCCTCACCCCGGGCCACCGGCAGCCTGCCAGTCACAAAGGCACACGCCCGGAGCCCCGCACCACCTCGTCCAGGAATGTCCTCACCAGAGCCCGCTGGTGCACAAGGAAACCCTGGTTTATGGCGGGGGAGTCCGGGGAGGGGGCTGAGCTGGGGATGGCACTGGACTGCAGCTCATCCCGCAGGGGGACTCCTGATCAGAAAGATCCCGAGACCGGTGGTTGAGAGATAAGAACAGAACACGACGTTGTGTATGTGATTTTGACATTTTTGTAAAAAGAAAGAAAGAAAAGAAAAAAACAACATGTGCAAATGCTCGTGTATGCACAGAGGAGACTTTGGGCCTTTGGACCGCGGGCAGGAGGTAACCCAGCACCAATGGGAATGAGCCACCAGAGACACGAACGCTGAGGGCGCAGAGGATGGGCTTCTCTCCTGCCTGCTGACCTGGGCAGGGAGGGCCCGTTCTCTGTGTCCTGAGTTTCCTGGCGGCCCCAGAGGTCAGAGAACCCGTGGTCACCTGCCTGGGGGCGGCAGGGGGTGGGGATGAGTGGGGTGGGTGTGGGGAGTGGGGTGGCAGGAGAGATGTGGGGGTGGGTGAGGCCCTCTCACCGCCTCACATTTCCTCCTGCTGCCACTGCGGCCCACTGCCAAGGCCAGGCTGCTGCCTCCTAGGACTTCCCTTAGATAAGGTGACCAGACGTCCCGCTTTTGGCAGGACAGTACCGATTTTTAACAATTTGTCCCGCGTCCAGCGGCATTTTAAAGAAGTCCAGATTTTTTTGAAAGACCAGAGAAACGTCTGGTCAGCTTATCCTTAGGAGAGGTGCCGGTTCATCGGGCCCTTTCTCCGAGCTCCCTCCGTCCCTCCAGACCACTGCCGACTTTGTTGGGGAAGCAGTGGCCATCAGGTTCCGCCGAGATCGCCACTTCCCAAGGCCTTCCTCAGCTGTGTCTTCTCCTCAAGACAATCTAAATCCGGCCACGAGGCACCCTCTCCCTCGCTGGGCCCCTCTGGCATCCTCAGGTCCGGGATGGGGGGGAGGCTCAGTCCAGCCGGCCGTCCCATGGTCAGCGCCCACTGCCCCAGGGGCCCTGCAGTGCTCAGGCCTGCCCCTGCCCTGGACACATGCCTGGGGGGCCCTGCCAGTCCAGACAGTTTCTTTTTGGAGGTGACTGAACTGGGCCGTGACCCCCTCCCAAGCCTCCCAGTGCAGCCAGGGAAGGCTCAGGCTGTGCTGGGCCGGGGGTCGCCCCTCCCCTGGACATGGCTCTGCCCCAGACATGGTGCCACCCTTCGAGATTAATCCGAACCTGTACACATCTGCCGTCAATTCCATGCCAAGGTTAGCTCTTCTCTCTCTGGACCTCTCTCCCCTGTGGAGGGAACAGGGGATAACGGTGGGGAGTTGGTACCACTTGGCCCTTCCCTTACTGCGAAGCAAGAGGAGGGAGCGAAGAAGGAAAGCCCCCCTCCTCCAAGCCTCATCCACCCACCGCTTGGTAGTGGTGTGGGGAGGGGAGTGTTTGCTTTTCAGAGTCGTGGTCCATGGATGTTACTGAGGAAATCAGGAGTCTGAGGAGATGACAAATACCTTTATTTACAGCGACACATGGCACAGACCCTCCCTCCATCCCCTCCCCCCTTCCAGTCTTTCCTATACCCTCCCCCTCCCGCCCGCCCCGACCGAGCCCAGCTCTGCACGCTGGGGTCACTGTATGGGTCACCCCACCCCACCCCACCCCACCCCCACCCCACCGCCCAGGAAAGGGGAGGGAGGGCTGGCTGAGGGCGGTGGGCGCCTCTTTTCACATTTTGCTGCGCTCTCAGCCTGGGCGCAGCGGGAGGCGGGTGCCGGGGGGCAGGGAGGGGCAGAGGGGCGCACAGCCCGCCCCCTGCGCCCCTGCCCTCCCCCGACGTTCACAGTGTTCCGCGCCCCCGTCCCCAGCCGGTCCCCCCAAACCCCGCCGCCAGGTCCCCGGGGCGCCCCCTGGCGGGCAGGGAGGAGGGAGGGGGCCGGTCAGGAGGAGAAGCAGAGCCCGCAGCACTCCATGCAGATCTCCAGGCAGTCGGCGGACTCGCAGCAGGCGTCCAGGATGCCGCAGTCCAGGTCGCAGGGCAGGTCGCAGTCGGCGCACTCGCCGGAGCCGCAGCAGCAGCAGCAGAGGCACGAGTCCTCGGAGCTGCAGGAGCCGCACGTGGCGCAGTCCAGGACGATGTTGCACAGCGTCAGGAACTCGCAGAACAGGCAGGACAGGATGCAGTGCACGCAGCAGTCTGCGGGGGGCGCGGGGGAGCGGGTGTGGGCGAGGCCGGCCGGGCCCTGCCACCCCTCACGGAGCCCTCAGTGCCCGGCGGGAAGTGGGGGCTGCGAGGAGCCTGCTTGGCCCAGAGTGACTGACGAACACACACCCGCCCCGGGAAGCCAGTTCGTCGGGGTGAGGGGCCAGCCAGGCAGTCTGGATCCCCAGCTCTTAACCCTCCTTGGTCACTTATTTAACGGGCACCATGGGGTGACACGCTGTAGGCACTGTTCTAAGTGCTGGGCATGAATTAAGCTCTGTTTAAACGTGCACAACTCCAGATCAAGAAACGGAGGCAGGGAAATCACTTCAAAATACAGCCAGAGCCCAGGCAGCGTGGCTCAGTGGTTGAGCAGCCACCTATGAACCAGGGGGCACAGTTCCGGTTCGATTCCCAGTCAGGGCACATGCCCGGGTTGCGGGCTTCATCCCCAAGGTGTGGCACTCGGGAGGCAGCCAATTAATGATCTTCTGTAATCATCAATGCTCCTTCCCATTTCTATCTCCCTCTCCCTTCCTCTCTGAAATCAATAAAAATATAAACTATAGCCGAAACCGGTTTGGCTCAGTGGATAGAGCATAGGCCTGTGGACTGAAAGGTCCCAGGTTGGATTCCCATCAAGGGCATGTACCTTGGTTGTGGTCACATCCCCAGTAGCGGGTATGCAAGAGGCAGCTGGTCGATGATTTTCTCTCATCGATGTTTCTAACTCTCTATCCCTCTCTCTTCCTCTCTGTAAAAAAAAAATCAATAAAATATATTTAAATATATATATAAAATATATAAAATATAAAATAGCCAGAATCCTCCCACGCTGCTAATCTCTGCCAGGGCAACTGCTTCTTCACTCCACCCTCCATCCCGCCCCAGCCATCCACACCCCACACACCAGGGGCCCTTAAAAACTTGGGTGGGATTCTGTCCCTCTGCCTCTCCTGTGCTCAGAAGCCCTCCAGTGGCTTCTGCCTCACTGGGAGTAAAAGCCAAAAAGCTCAGAGTGGCCCCCATGGCTCCCTGTGATTGGGTTCACTCCCCCCCTCTGTCCCCTAGTCCCTGCTGTGGCCACACAGCCTGCTCCTCCTCACACAGGCACTACTGCCCCCCACCCCCCCCCCGATGCCCTGGCCCCAGATAAATGCTGGTGCTCATCCCCTCCCTCCTTCAGTGCCCAAATGCCACCCTCTTTCATAATGCAACCTGCCCGCACCACCCCAGCACCCCCATCTGGCACCCCGCCCCCTTGCCCTGGCCTCCTTCACCTGGCCCCTGTAGGACTTGTCACTTTCCACCGCACTACCCACTTCTCCTCTCACTACACTGGGAGCTCCAGCTTGTCTGTCCCCAGAACAGCGCTGGACACATGGCAGGCGCAGAGTAGATAAACGGGGAGTGCATTGATGCAGGAGCCGCTCTTGGGCACCCAGCTGGTTAAATGCTGGTGCTGGGACCTGAACCCAGGCAGGCTGGCTCTGGGGTCCACACTCTGAAGCGCCCAGTGTGCTGCCAGGATGCTGAGCTGGCACCTCTGCTAGGGGCCAGACCAAGGGGCAGAGTGTCCATGTCCCCTGAGCAGGTGAGCCCCTGGCACAGGCTGCTGGTCCTGTGGGGGTCTCACACTGCCATGGAGGGTCCGACTCCCCTGGCCCTTTCCTGGGGGGGGGGGAGTGGGGTCTGGTACAGCTGGAACCCCTGCAAGCTATCGGCAAGCTGAAGAGGGGCGTTCTCTTCCAGTGCAAATCTGATGAGGCCACCACCTTGCTGGAAACCCTCAGTGGCTTCCTATTGCCCTCCTGATAACCGATAACCGATAACCGATAATCAAAGTCCACTGAGCATCGTTTACGAGGCATCCCCGCTTCCTGGCCCTGGCCTGGCCTGGAGTCTCACCTCCCACCATTCCTGACCTTGAACTTCATAATCTAGCACTTTAGCCATTTCTTACCTCTTTGCTAAACCCCCCTAACTATCGATAGATCCTCCTCAACCTTAAGCCTTGCTCAGACTCCTCCAGAGCCTTCCTAGGGTCCCCCCCCCCCTGACTTTTTGGGCTGGAGTGGGGGGCCCCTGTGTTCCCATAATCCCCTGTGTGTGGCTTCATCATTATTTATCACATCATAAGGTGACTCCCTGCTGCGTCTCTCTCATGAGAGCTCATGAGGCCGTGGACTGGGCACCCGGCACATAGCATGGTGCCTGGTTCACAGCGACGCCCACTACACTTCAATGAATAAACGCCTCTTTCATACATTAGCTGGGCAGTGTCTGCTCTGCGAGGTGGGGAGGCTTATGAATACGCATGTGCAAATGTGTGCGCCGAGTCCTGTTTGCAGAGAACCAGGTCAGGGTCCCCCAACATGGACAGGAATCACTTAAAAAGTCTAGGGTAAAGGTCAAGCACCACTGAGCTACAGGCAGCTGGGCTCATGTGGAATTGATGCTGGGGGAGGGGAGAGGCCCCGCGTGGCCCTGCGAGGGCATTGGTGCTGCAAGCACAATGGCTGGTGCATCTCGGTTCCTGACCTCCCACTGCACTGAGTAGCCCCTGCCGACCTCCCCAGTTCAGCGTCTCACGGAGCATCGTTCTGCTCTGCCAGGTGCTCTGACCGCTCTCACTAAACAGATGGCCCATTCCTGGAGGAAAATTCCTTCTGGTTCCAGAAACGGGATGGCTTAAGCGGGATTAGGCCATCTGGCTCCGTTCCTGGTTACAGAAACTCTGGGAGAGCAGCGGTGGGAAGGCGTTGGCCTTGAAAAAGGGCACATTTGCCTCAGTTTATCCAACCGCCTTTGCAAAGCTTTCAGATTTGAGTCTTGCAGCAGACTCCCCGCAGGGCTTGTCAGAGCCCCCTGGCTCCTGCCCCACCCAGAGGTGCCGGTCCAGGGGGCCTGGCCTGGGGCCGGGACCGGTTCCCAGAAGCCCGGGAAGACGCTGCTGCTGCCGGCCCCTGGGTCAGCCCTGGAGAAGCTGGCTTGGAGGCCCCTCAGGGAGAGGCGGCACTCACCCTCCTGTGCCTGCAGAGGGATCTGGGAGGCGGCGGACTTGGTGCTGCCCTTGCTCTTCTTGCTGCCCTGGCTGGCGAGAGATGGGTGGGCCTGCAGCTTCCGGTGGGCCTTGGGGCCACCCAGGGCGCCGTTCCCCGCCCGCCTGGCGCTGCCCAGCTCCAAGGGGTGGCCGGAGCCATTCGCCAGTAGTGGGGTGCAGCCCAAGGGGTTCCCCTGTGGCTGGCCTGGAGAGATGACGAGAAAGGGGGGTGGAGTTGGGGGCCAGGCTCCGTTCTGCTCCTGCCTGCTTTGTCCTCACAGACACCACAATTCACCCACCAGATCAGCGTCCTGCAGATGAAGAAACTGAGGCCCAGAGAGCAGAACTGACGTGCCCAGAGGCACACCAGGAAGTAGCACCGAGGGGAGCCTGGCTCCGGACTCGCAGGCCAGTGCTCATTCCAGGAGCCAGAGGTGCAAGAGGGGCTCAGAGTGCTGGACCCCACCCTCTCCCCCCGACATGAAACCCAGTCCCCTGACTTGGGGTCCTGGGATTCGGGCAGAAGAGGTGGCGGCTGGGGGAGGGACCGGGACAGTGAGGCTGGGGTGGGAGGCCAGCAGTGAAGTAGTTAACCTTCGCTTCGGCCTCTGCCAAGCCCCCAGCTGTTTTTGCCCTTCGTGCGCTGGGTGAGTTATTAGAAACATCTGTTTGGAGACGAATGCCTGGTCTGGAATCCGGGGGCTCCTCACAGCAGCCCCTCTATCTCCTCTCCTCCACGCCCTGCCCTGTCGGCCTCTGAGGGGTGGCTGGCGGGAGTCTGCTGAGGGGCCCTTGGGGTCTGGGTGAGGAGGGAGAGAAGAGCGGAAGAGGGAGGCCATCGGGGAGACCCCTGAGGCCAGGAACCCCGAGTCCCCTTCGCAGGCTGAGGGACCAGACTTGAGCTGTATCAGTGAGGTGCAGGGAGCTGGCCCCAGAGAGCCCGCCAAACACCCAGGTCTTCCCTCACCCACTCGAGCCTGCTCACCTGAAAGGCAGTTCTGTTCAGAAGCCATGAGGGCAGCCATGGCGGGGAGGGCGCTGAGAAGGGGCGCTAGTGCTCGGAGCCCTCAGGGCGGGACTGGGCAGGACCCATGGGCCCGAGGCCTCTGTAAACATGGGGAACTCGCATCTCTCAGGTGCTGGGGCCTGGTCCCCCAACTCCCTCCAGGCCTGGCCTCTGTGTTTGAACTGTGGTAGGAGGAGATGGGGGAGGGGGACTGGAGATGGGGGAGGAGGCCAGGAGGCAGAGAAGGGAGACAGCCTCAGTGCCTGGAGAAGGGCTGGGCCTTCTGGGAATGGCAGTAGTCACACCACCGAGCACTTACTGCTTGTCGGTGACTAGTTTAAGCCCTTGGCCTGCTAATTACTCACTCGCTGGGTCCTCTGAGTATTGCTACTGGGCTGTATCTTCCCAGATGCGGAAACTGAGTTCCAGAGAGGTACAGTAATTTGTCCAAGGCCCACAGCTCCTGTCAGAGGCGGAGCAGCCTAGAAGCTGGAAGCTGAAGCTCGCAGGCCACAGGAAGGAGGGGACAGAGATTGGGAGACAAGGGTCTGGGGAACAGGCTGCTTCTAGCACAACCATCACTATGCTCCTAACTAGTAGTTGGCATGTTCTGAGCTGTTACGGGTGCCAGGCACAGTGCTGAGAGCTTTATGGGTCGTGATGTCTTTGAATGTCAGGAGAGATCTATTATTAGCCCCATTTCACAGATGGCAACACCGAGGCCCTGGAGGATAAAACTCGCCAAGAGTCCACATCTAGGAGAGGGAGAGGGAGGGGATGGAGGTTGGGACAAAGGAGCAGAGAGGTGGGGAGTCTGGCAGGATGGGAGACCAGGCTCTGCAGAGGCTCTGCCCTGGAAGCCGTCCACCCTGAGCCCTGAGGCGTGGCTGGGGCCTGCATCTGGGTAAACAGGGGTAAGGGAAGTGGCCAGGCCTGAATCATCATCCCCCCACCACTTGGCCCCATGGGGGTGACTGAGCTTGAATCCTTGGCCAGCCTCAGTGCCCCCTGCCCTGCTGCCTAAACATGGCACAGTGACCAGCGGGCGGGCATGTGTGGTGAGCTGAGGGCCCAGGGGGGTGTGGGCAGACACAGAGCTTGCCTGTGGCCATAGCAGTGGAGTGACCAGGGGGACTGAGTCACAGAACAAACACTCAGGGCCCGCAGACACAGGAGCGACTGTCCAACTCCCGCCCAGACTGGCCACTGTGCTGACCTCTTTCCCCTAATTCTGCTGGGGGGCATGTTTGGAGGGGGCTGAGGGCAGTGTGCGAGCAGGATTTAGCAACCCTAACTTCCAGGGAGGCCAACTTCGCCCCAGATGCCCTGCCTGGCGGTGCCAGCTCCCGGCGCAGCATGCCAGCTGGGTGGGCAGGCACAGGAAAGAGCACTGGGTCAGGAGACCCGAGTCCCCAGCGTCTGTCCAGGGTGAGTGGTTCTCTGCACCTCAGTTTTCTGGTCTGTGAAATGGGCTTGACAACAGGCTGGACAGCACTTGGGATCATTCAGGGAAAGACAGTTGGAAAGTGCAATGGTGCCTGCAGATTTGGGCATCTTAGTAGTCATTACAGAACCCCCTGCTTTTGAGGGTGAAGGTGGAGAATGCTCTTCCGCCCAGAACCTCCTCGGAGACCTCAATCCGAGCCTGGGAACGAAACTGAAGTTTGCTCCTTTCTGCCCAGACCAACTGGGGGCTTCCCTCCTTCCTTTTGGCCTGGATGCCCCGAAGGCTGGTGCTGTGCTGGGCTCTGGCTGCCTCTCCCTGGTCCCTGTGCCTCCTCCCGGAGCCCCAGCCTCTCTGTCCTGCACCACAAGGCCAGGGTCCTGACTTACTTTTCCGGTGCACACTCATTTTGAACTAATCTCACACTAATAAGTTTGTGCGTGGAGAACTTCCTAGACAGAAAGGACAGTGACCTCTCCGCTGCCGTCCCTCCGGGTCCCAGCCCTGTGCTGGGCTCCTGAGAGCACGCACTGCGTTTCTGCCAGCCCACCTGGACGGCATTCCCCCTGGAACCCCTCCGTGTCGCCACCCCGACTCCCCGGCCCCCTAGGACTCACGTGTCACAGCTTCCGTGGGGACGTGGAGGTCAGTGCTGTCCAGGGCCTGGGGGGCCCCAGGGCCATTGCCTTGAGGCATGGGGGGTGCCTCCTCCTCCAGGGACCCCTCTTCTAGCACCGCCTCCACAGAGGCAGTGGGTCCTGTTCCTGCCTCCAGCCCAGGCGGGGGCGATGGGGTCTGGGCTGGGGGAAAAGCAGACGAGCGAGGTGTTTCTCCGTGCCCTTCTGTGTACCCAGCCCGAACCCCTCCCTGCAGCCTGATCGCTGGGAGCCCTCATTCCTGGTCTCTTTGTACAGTTACCCAGCCTTTCCCCCACCTGGCAACAGCGCCCGACTCCAAAATAGACTCCCAGACCACAGCACGTGAGCGAGCGAGCGAGGGTGTGTGAGCATGTGCTCATGTGTGCCTGTGCAGGTGTGTGCATGCGTGTATTGGTGGTGTCAGGAGAAGCAGGAGAGAACAGACAGGTGGTCGGCGATGGAGAGATAGGGACAGGCACCAGGAGTGACAGCGAGAGAGAAGGAATCCAAGGGACAGTGACAAGTGGAAGCCAAGATAGAGCATCAGAAGGCGGGGATTGGGCCCGGGAGGGGAGAGCCCCAGAAACCCAGTGACAGACAGCCTGCTCCAGGAGGGAGACTGCAACAGAGCAAGAGTAGCCATGGAGAGAGAGATAAGACTGGGTCAAAGGCAGAGGTGAAGGAGAAGGGAGCGCGATACAGGCTGAGCGAGAGGGAGACAGACAGTGAGAAATTGGATCGGAGAGAGGAAGACAGCAAGAGAAAGAGTTAGAGGAAACCTGGGGTGAGGGGAAGGCTGGGGCCTGGATTGGAGGGGCAGGAGCGGCAGGGAGAGGATGAGAGGGCTGGGAAGAGGCGGGCGGGCGGCAGCCACATGTAATTACAGTGACCAGCTCAGCCCTCTGCACAGTGGGCGGAAGGAAGGAAGGAGCCACCTTCAAACCCACAGCTCCCAGGGCGGGCGACAGGAGGCAGGACTGGCCCCTGGGCAGGGGGAAAGGTTAGGGGGATGGGCAGTGGGGGAGGGAGGCAGACAGGGCCCTAGTTCCCACAGGGCGTGGGAAGGCCTGCGGGGAGGCAGGGCCCAGGAGGGTGAAGGCAGGGTCACGGGGCCAAGGAGCAGACTGGGCAATTACAGGGTGCAGGGTGCCGCCTGAGCCTCGGCGGACTCAGGCTGTGCAATGGGAAGACGGGGGCCTCAGGAGGGTGCCCCGCATGCCACACTGGGAACAACAGGAAAACAGAAACAAGAGACTCAGAGGGACACAAACCAAAAGGGCACGTAGAGAAGAGGGACTCGGGAGACAGAGGAGGATGGAGGGAAAGGGCGGTGAGACCCAGTAAAATATTCACAGCCACGTGGACACACATCACAGAGACCGAGAGAGAGGCACCAGAGGGACAGAGAGAGAAAACCTAGTCTTGGAAATAGAAACAAATCAACGATGAGGATCATTAGGCTTACATAGGGGGTACCTCTCTGAGCTGTCTCCAATGGAGTGGGGGAAGGGAGGAGGGCGATAATGAAGGCTGGGCACTCAGGTTTGGGGAGAGGGGAGGGGAACACCTCGAGGGGAGAGAACACGCAGGGGCTCAGCTGCCTCCCTGGGCCCTGAGCATCCGTCTACTACAGCTCCTGACCTTGTTTCAAAGACCCTGGTCTCCCATGGCCAGGCCACAGGCTCCGGAGGCCCAGAGCGCAGCAGAGAGCAGCAGCCATGTTCATGCTCACTCCTGCCCAGGGAAACACGGGCCCTGCCTGGAGCCAGGATCCAGGAGCCAGGGCCGGAGGCATCAGGGGCCGGGGCACCAGCGACTTCTGGGGGACACCAGAGTCATGTGTTGGGAGCCCCTCATGGTGCCCAATCCTGCTCCACAGAGACAGGGTGGGTGCCTCCAGCCCGGTCCACTCTTTGGGCTCGGGGGAACCCCATCACCCTGGGTCAGGAGAGAGGCCAATGGCTTTTGGAAGGGCACAAAGCTGGGACAGGGTGGCGAAGGCCAGTGGAGGTGACAAGAGGGAGGAGATGCTGCCTGGTCCATGGGCCTCTCGTGGCCCCAAACATGTCTGCAGCAGCTCAGACAAGGCTTTTGGGGCCGAGACCCCAGGTTGTGAAGGAAGGGAGGTCCTAATTCTCTGGAGAAAGGGGCCTGCCCCGCTCCAGCCTCTGGCCCTGAAGCGGGGAGGGGCGCTGACTCTCCCTGTGGTAAAAGGGAGAAGTCAAAGAGAAGTGTCAGATCCAAGCCCGGTCTCCCCGGTTACCAGCTTGGGCAAGTTAGCAGGACTTGGGTTCCCTTGTGTGTAACGGGGGTTCCTAAAGCTGACCTCTCAGGGGGTCAGAGAGTGGTGAGAGGCTCAGCAGTGTCCTGGCCTGCAGGGCCATCCGGAGCACTTCCACCCACTGACCCGCCCACTGCCCTTCTCACACAAACCGGGAAAGAGAATCCAGTTCAGGCGTCTTGGCCTGGAAACTCAAAGGGACGGCTCTCCTGGGGCAGCAGGGGCAGCGGAGCGGAGCCGCCGCTGCCCAAGGGAACATCGCTGAGGGCGGGAGAGGAAGCTGCCGAGTGCCCGGAGAGCGGGAAGCAGCATGAGGAGTAGAAGTGGCGGGAAGACCTGAGCTGTGAGTCAGAAGGCCCCAGGTCTAGATGCTGGACCAAGACACAGCTCTCTCCATGGCACATGGGGCAAAAAGCCAGGCCCAAGGCCCAAGTGCTCACCCATCAAGAGCTGGAAAGAGCCCTACCCAGTTTGGCTCAGTGGATAGAGTGTCGGCCTGCGGTCTGAAGGGTCCCAGGTTCGATTCCGGTCAAGGGCATGTACCTTGGTTGCGGGCACATCCCCAGTGGGGAGTGTGCAGGAGGCAGCTGATCGATGATTCTCTCTCTCATCGATGTTTCTAACTCTCTATCCCTCTCCCTTCCTCTATATTTTACAAAAGAGAGAGGGGGGCGGGGGAGATGGAAAGAGCCCAGTTTTCCTTGTGACTGTGGGACTCTGCTGTCCAGCCACCGAGGAGAGAACATCTCTGAGGAAGAATGCCCAAAGGATGCCCCCTAGAGGGTGGAGTGCAGCGTGGGCTGGAAGCAGGGTGGCCAGCGGAGGCCAAGGCTGGCTTGTGGATGTGCAAGTCATGTTCTGCATAAAGGCACTGGCCAAGGGGGCAGGGGTGGTTGTGCGCGGCTTCCTGGAGATGCCATTGGCTCGGCCAGCTGCACACCTGCTGCCTCTGAGCAGAGGGCCCCCTCTTTCTAATGTGCACAGCGGGCCACCGGTGCTGGGGTGTCCCTGAGCAGCGGTCCCCTCCACAAGCGGGAAATACAGAAAGGCAACAGCCTGACACACACTCATTCCTAACACAGGATAAGGCGCTGGTCCATGCCCTGAGCTCTGGAAAGGGCCGAGAAGAGGGTGGGGAATGTTTAAACCGATCAGCCCCAAAGGGGTAGGGTGAGAGATCCAGTCTCCGCAGGGCGCCTGTGGGCTCCCTCCACCTGCTGTCCACCCCGGTGAGGGGCACCGGAAGGAAATGGGGGACCACTTCCAGGAGGGGTGGGTTCACCCCAAGGCTGGAAAGTGACCACAGGGCCCTTGCTCCGGAGCGGCCAGGCCAGATCCCGCACACCCGCCTTCTCCAGGGGCTTGGTGGCAGTGGGTGTGGGCTTCTCCCCAGTAAAGAAGAGGGGACCAGGATCTGCTGTGCTCAGAACTCCGGTCTCCCCTGGCCTGCTAGCCAAGGCCTCAATCTAGATCCTCAATAATCAATGGACAAGGATGGCGTGTTCCAGGCGCACTGACCTCTCCGTGGCCCCAGGCCTTCTGACCCGGCCCCTCAGGCTTAGCGTGCTCCTGTCTCCCACTGCACCATCCAGCCCTCCCTTCCTAACCCAGCTCAGCTTCACCTCTTCCTCCAGGGCCTCCCCTGAGCCCCGAGCCAACTGTGCCTCCTCCATCCCTCCTTGGAGTGGCCCACTTCCTGAGGACCTAGCGCTCAGTACTGTTCACTATGACCTGGCACGGGGGTCCTGGCCCCTCCACGCCCGGGGCAGCCTCCCAGGCTCTGGCTGGCAGTGGTGTCGCCAGCGGGGGGTGCGGGATCTGGCCTTGCTGCTCCAGAACATCTCTCACCGCAGCGGGGACTCAGCAGGGTCTGTTGGGGTGGACGGAGCTCTGGAGCTTGGACTTGCCCAGGACAGGGAAGGAGAGAGAAGGAGACGGTGAGGACTGGGGGTGGAGACTGGCTCGAACCCCAAGAAGGCGAGCATGTGGACTCCCTTGATACACAGCTGTGACACCCTGGTCACCGTCCCAGGCCACCGGCTGAGGACCGAGAGGGCCTGAGCTGGCCAGTTAAGGCTGGGTTGGGTTGGTTTTATTTTAGGTCTGAAGGCTCCAATTCCCCAGGAAATTCAATTTAGAACCAAGAGCAGGAATGTGACGCCCCAGTGCTGGGCAGAAATCTGCTGCGGGTGAGGGAGCCAGGCTCTGGGGCTCTCAGGGGTGGGTGGGGAGAGGCCACTGGGGGCGCCAAGGGTGTGGGTGGGGGCTTGGCCACCTGCCCCAACCAGAGCTGCCCCAGGCTCCTTCACCCCATGTTCCATCTGCCCCTGCGGAGGGCGGGGCTGGCTCGCTCCCTGGCCGTGCTGCCCGCAGGGCCCCGGGGGCAGCACCCTGGCCTGGCTGTGCTGTCAGGGCTCAGCGGGGAGCGTGGGGGATTCTGGTCTCGGATTCAGGCGTCTGTGGGGTTTTGGCTGCGTCTCCTGCGGTTTGGGCTTCCTGGGCAGCAGCCTCATGCTCCCAAGGCGGCAGAGCCAGGCCTCCTCCGGTTATGAAAGCCACATTGTCTGGCTCGGCCCAGCCTGGGGAGGGGGCTCGCTGGGGTGCTGGGGGCCTCAAGTTACAGCCCCGGCCTCCACCCTCCCAGGGGTCCCCCTGGCCTCTGCCCCTCGCCCCAGCACATGTAGCCCCTCTTCTCCCTTCGGGGCTGAGAGTGGGTGGGTCGCATAGGGAGAGGATCTGGGAAAGAGGCACTGGGGGGGGGGGGGGTGGCGGGCAGAGAAAACAGATAAGCAGAGGAAGAAAGCAGGGAGTGGGAGGACAGGCCAGAAGGAGGCTGAGAAAGAGAGGAGAGGCGAGGGAAGCGGAGTGGGAGAGAGAAGGTTCCCAGCCCCCCAGAAGCCCCCCCCCCGGCTCCTGGCTCCAGCTCTCTCCAGCCCGAAGGAGCCCAGTTCTTGGAGGAGCTTATTCCCAGAAGCCCCTGCTCCAGGGGCCCACCGAGAGGAGGGAACCTGAGGATTACGGGGGGCGCGTGCAGCAGACACATTAGTGTCATTCATGCGCTGGCCCCCGGCCAGATATCCCCTCACTGTCCTCGCTCTGTTCTAGGAGGCCCCCCACCTCCATAGCCTGGGGTGGGGTGGGGGCAGAGGGCCACGGCTCTCACTCGCAGACTGGGGAGTGGGGCAGGCCCTCCAGCAGGCAGACAGGCTCCCGCGGGCGGATGTGGAGACTGAGGCCAGAGGGGAAGGGACTTGTCTCCGGCCATGCCGGCCGGGATTGTGTCAGAGGTCCAGGAACAGACCATCATCACTCAAAGGGGGAGGAGAGTGGGGGGTGTGTGAGAGAGAAAGAGGCAAATGAATTAGACTCACTAGGAGCTGGGATTAGAGTCATGCAATCTGGGCCTATGTGCCTGCACCCCAGCCCTCTGCCCTGAACAGATCCCCAAAGTCCCCGACTTCTGACTCTGTTCCCCGGTGAGCCTCTGCTCCCATCTGTACAGGGAGGGGGCTCCCGCCCTTAGGGGGTCCCAAACCTCCCTGGGTAGGGAGGCTCCTGCAGGACCCGGGGATGGTACAGACCCTGTGAGCTAGGAGGCGTGTGTGTGTGTGTGTGTGTGTGTGTGTGTGTGCAGGGCAGGAGCAAAGGGGACTGGCCAGGCCGAGGTGGGGAGGTAGACTAGCAAGACAGATGGCAAGAAGGGGAGGGGCCGGGTCCTGCGGCCGCTTTAAGCGAACAAAAGTTTTCGGGAAGCGCTGGGCTCCGGTGGGGTTGGGGGAAGGGAAGAAGGGGAGAAAGACTCAGACATCCCCACCTTCGCCCGAGGTCCCCATAAATATTTACACACTGGGCCGAAATGGCTGGGACACCAATCCCAGACGGACAGACAGCCTGCAGTGTGTGTGTGTGTGTGCGTGAGTGAGTGTGTGTGTGTGTGTGTGTGTGTGTGTGTGTGTGAGTCTGGTTGGGAGTGAGGGGAATTAAGCCAACTTGGCACGGCCCCGGCTGCGTTGGGGCCCTGCCCCCATCACCCCAGCGCTCCACTCGATTTGGACCCCGTCCCAGCTAGCCAGACCCTTCGCCTCCACTTCCACCAGGCTCCCCCAAACTGTCTCCTACTGTCTCTGGGAGAAGGGGGAGAGCATTAACCCCCCCACCCCCACCCCGGAGCCACCCACCCCTCTCCGGCCCAGCCTCCTCTCCCCCTCCCACCCCCACATCGTACCTGGGCCAGGGGCTGCGCTGGGGGCTGCATGGGGAGCGTCGCAGCGAGGGGCGTGCTGGCCGCTCACCTGGGACATCGGCCCGGGACCTGCGGAAAACGGGGCTCAGCGGGTGGGGCGCCCTCGCCCCGCGCTGCGTGCGGGGAGGAGGGCTGGCAGGGGCGATCCGGCAGCCGGCGAGCGCCGCCTCCGTCCAGCTCGGCCACCGACGGACTTACTCGTGCAAACTGCGCGCTCCTCTCGCCTCCGGGATCACGGCACCGGGCCTGCCATGCGCCCGCCCAGGCGCCCCCGCCGAGGGGCCCGCAGTCCCGGTGCCGCCCCGCGCCCCCTCCCAGCGCCCCCTCCCTGCCTCACTCGCGCCGCGCTCCCCTTTTGGCGCCAGCCCGCGCCACGAGCCCCCTTTCTCCTTCCTCCCCTCCCTCCGGCCCCCCCTCCCTCCTCCCCTGCTGGCCGCGCGCCTCCCTTCCTCCCGGCCCACCCTCTCCCCGCCCCCTGCTCGCCGTCCCGGCGCTCCCGGCCCACCCGCACCCCCACCGCCGCCCCCGCCCCCACCGCCGCCCCCGCCCCCACCGCCGTCGCCGCGTCCCTGCCCCCGCGCGGGGCTCGGCGCTGCCTGGCCGGACGCGGCTGTCCGCGGGGCGCCGCGGCCCGAGCCCCCACAGGAAGCGGGCTCCGCGCGTTTCCTCCGCGCAGGCAGAGGGGGGCCCCAGTCTCCCTAAATCTCCGCCTCCCTCCCCGATCCAGCGCCCCCAGGGGCTGCGCGCTCCCCGCCGCCTGTCCTAAACTCTGTAAAAGTTTGCGCAAAGTCCGGAGAAGGAGAGAGAGAGACAGCACGGCGACTACAGCCACTTGGGGCTGATTGTCTGGCTGCTGGTGGCCTCCAGATCGCCTGGTCCCCTCGATGGGAATGGCAGGGTTCCTCGGGCACCCTCTGCGCACCCCTTCCGTCCCCCGGGGACCCTGAGCCGGGCGCCCAGGCCTCGCCAGAGGTTGTCCCCAGGGGTTGGTGGCGAGCTACCCTCCCGGGTCTCCCGGCAGCTCTGAGCATCCTCACCTCCCACCCCGCCCGCGGCGCGTGGGAATCTGGGTCGGAAAACCAACTCCAAGGCCAAGAGCCAGTCTCCCGTGCAGCCTTTTCCTTCAGCTCCGGCCCGGAGTCCGGGCCTCCCGGGCTGTGGGGACGCTGGAAGGGAGAGAAGGGGCCCTCCAGGCCGGGGCAGTGGGGCGCATCTGGAATTGTGTGCGGGGCCCTGCCTCGGGGCCGTGGGACAGGAAGAAAGCCCCCGACGGCAGCCTCGGGGGGTTCAAGGACCCTCAGCGCGACCCCGGGACTCCATCCCCGTCCCCGTCCCCGACCCCGGGCGCTCGGCGAGGTGACAGCGTCTCGGCCAGGCGAACCGGCCGCCTCCGAGCCGCGTCCCGCGGCGCCGGGACTGGGACGGGGGGCCCGGGAGGGACTGCCCCGGCCCGCGCGTCAGCTACTCACGGCGTCGGAGGTCCGCGCCGCGCCGTCTCGGCCGAGATCGCCGGGGCCCCTCGGCGCGGGCCCCTCGGCGCCCCCGCGCCCTCGCCCCCCGGGCCCGCGTCTCGCGAAGAGAGAGCCCCGCCGGCGGCAGCCCGGAGCGGGGTCGCGGGCCGGGAGGAGGGGCCCAGCTCCAGGGGCCGGGCTGCCTGCTGCGGGGGCTTAGCCTGGCGCCCAGGAGCCAGCCCGGATCCGATCCGGCTGCAGTCTGGGAGCCCTGGAGATGGGGCGGCCTCCCTCTTCCTGGCAAGGGCTGAGTCACCGGGACGCGCCCGCGCCCGGGCTTGGCCACTGCTGCATTCTTACCGACTTAGGCTCACTCACCTGGGCCCGGGGCTGGGCCTCACCAGCTTCCAAGAATGGGGTGCAGGATGAGGGGTGGGCATGCTCCCAGGGCAGCAGCCCCTGCCACCTCTCTCTGCCCCCTCCCCGACCACAGACCCCAGAGCTACGCCCGCCCCTTCTCAGTCTGGATCCAGGGACCCTGCACTCTGGATCAGCCCAGGGCCCCAGCCTCACCGTCTGAAGTCGCCTGCTGGAGCTCAGAGTCCTCTGAATCTGGCACAGGACACACGAATATGTCTGGTTTTTTGGAAACGTGAAGTACGCTTTAAATTTAATCCCACATTGGTTACACAAGTGTGCTCAGTTTGTGAAAACTCAGCAAACTGAACATTTAAGCTACATGTGCTTTTTGTGTGTCAAGGTGACACTTGAATAAGAGTTTTTAAGCATAGCCCTGGCTGGTGTCAGAGCGTTAGTGGGGGTAGAGTGTTGGCCTGTGCACCAAAGGGTCATGAGTTCGATTCCTGGTCAAGGCTGGTATTTGGGTTGCAGGTTTGATCCCTGCCCCATAGGTACCTTCGGGAGGCAGTCAATAGATGCGTCTCTCTCACACCAATGTTTCTCTCTCTCTTTCTCTCTCTCCTTCTCTCTCCCTTTCCCCCTCCCTCCTTCCCTTCCACTCTCTCTAAAAATCGATGGAGAAAATATCCTCAGGTGAGGATTAACAACAACAACAAAACTCTAAAGGTGAACCAACACTCCAGGACAGAGCAGCTAGGGTGTGATGGCCAGGCAGTGGGTCTGCAGTTCAGATCCCACTCTTGGGAAAGTCCCTCACCTCTGGGAGCCTCAGGGGCTTGAACACTGGGGCCCGCAATGTGGAACCCAATCATTTCATTGTTAACCGGGACCCGGACTGAGGTCCTGGATGAGTGAGGTAAATGGGGCACTCATCAGGGTGCAGAATTTAGGAGGGTGCCAAGATACATAGCATTGTGATCTAAAAGTAAAACACCTGCCTGTCAGCTGCCTATTTTTATAAGTAAAGTTTTATTGGAACCAGGGTCGAGATCAGGGTGAGCTGAGCGAGATAGGATCAAACAAGTTCAGGGTTAGATCCTGTTATTTAAAATGTTGGCATTTTGTTCATCATGGATTTTTAAAAATACGTACTTTATTCATTTTTTACAGAGTGGAATGGAGAGGGACAGAGAGCTAGAAACATCGATGAGACAGAAACATTGATCAGTTGCCTCCTGCGCGCGCGCACACACACACACACACACACACACACACACACTGGGGATGTGCCCGTAACCAAGGTACATGCCCTTGACTGGAATGGAACCTGGGACCTTTCAGTCCGCAGGTCGACATCCACTGAGCCAAACCGGCTAGGGTGACTTTTTTTTAAAATTTTGATTTTCAGGTATTGCAGTAAAATACAATGACTGACTTTTTTTGATGCCCCCTTAAGTTTTTCACCTGAGCGGATTGCCTCACTCACTCTAGGCCTTACACATCTCACCCTGAGTAACCTGAAGTTCCTGGCTAGGACCCCAGGGTAAATGAGCGGAGGTTGGAGTTTGCCCCCCACCACAGCTCTGGGGGGGGCGGGCACTCTGTGCCCAGGTCTGGCCTAGCTTTCCTGGGGCCCATTGATCAGAGCAGAAGGCAGTCCTCACAATGGCCTTCAGGTTCCGCAGGCTGGGCTCTGTCTGCCTCGGCCTTTCCCTCCCTCCCTCATTTCCTTCCAGCCCTGCTGCTCCCGGAGTTTGTTTTTACACTTTGCCTCGGTGGCTTGCCTCAGGGCCTTTGCACTGGCTCTTCCCTGCCCAGCATGTGCTTCCCCCAGATAGTCCTGTGGCCCTTCCTCCTTTCCTCCTTTCCTGTGTTTATGTCACCTCCTCGGAGAGCCATGCCAGACCCCTCACCCTGTCCCTTCACACCATTGGATTATTCTTCAAAGGTCTCTCCCCCACTTTTCCTATTTACCTCTTTTGTTTTGTTTTTTAATATATTTTATTGATTTTTTTACAGAGAGGAAGGGAGAGGGATAGAGAGTAAGAAACATCGATGAGATAGAATCATCAATCAGCTGCCTCTTGCACCCCCCCCCCCCCACCCGACCGAGGATATACCTGCAACCAAGGTACATGCCCTTGACCAGAATCTAACTGGGACCCCTCAGTCCTCAGGCCGACGCTCTAGCCACCGAACCAAAGCGGTTTCGGCTATTTACCTGTTTATTGGTGGACTGGGAGCTCCAGGAGAGAAGGGACTTTGTCATCCCTGCTGGTGCATCCCCTAGAATTGTGTCTGCCAGGAAGAGTGCAATGAGTATTTCCAGTGTCACCTATGGGGAAACAGAGGCCGGAGAGGGGAAGGGGCGAGTGCATGTCACCACCCTACTGAATCCCGGGTTCCCGGACCACCCTCCGGTGCTCCTGCATTCCCCATCCCCCAGCCCTCCAGGCACCAAGGGTGACCGTGAGCCTGCACGGTTCTCCTGCACAGTCCCTTCCACACAACGTGCTCAGCGGGCTGGCCCTGCTCCAGCCCCTGGCGTCCACCCTGCCCCGGCGTCCAGCAGGCATGTCCAGCTCTTCCTGGCTTCCTGTCTCTGGCACGGGGCCAGTCGGCTGGGCTGGGTTCTGCAGCTGGACCACAGCTGTGGTCTCCGCCTTGTCCTGGAGAATGTCCGACAACAGGCTGTGGAGCAACTCCCTGCAGAGGGCTGTATGGAAGGGTGTGTGTGTGTGTGTGTGTGTGTGTGTGTGTCTGTGTTTCTCTGTGTGTGTGTGTGTGTGTGTGCATGTGAGTGGGGGGCTGCTGCTGGGTAGGAACTGAGAACCTCCAACTCCCTCAGGACTCCCTCTTGGACAGGCACTAATCCCTCCTTCCTAGAAGGAAAGACATGATGGGGTGAGGGGAGCTCTGAGGCCAGGCTTGAGCCTATACCTCTCTTCTCCTCCTGGAGATGGGGGAGAACCGGTGGTCGCCTTTGGTAACTGGAGTTGGTATGTTCTATATGCCAGCTCTTTGTTAGATATTTCTAGACGTGTTGCTTCCTTTAATGCCCACACAGTTATCCCCATTTTACAGATGAGGAAACTGAGACAAAGTGAGGTGAAGTGACTTGCCCGGGGCCACACAACTAACAGTGGGTGCCTGGGACTTGTCCCACACTTTCTGAGGCCAAGTGCCATGTCCAATCCCCCACACAGCCTTCCGCAGGTACAGAGAACTGTGCTGCTCTTCCTCATGTGCCCCCCACTCCACGCTGGCTGCCGAAGATGGAGGCATGGCCCTCTGCACCCCTCCTCTGTCTCCCTGCTAATGGGGGTACCAGGAGGTTGGCAGAGGACAGTGGAAAGAGTGGGGCCTGGTTTGGTGCCCTGGTGAGCCCATTTGCATCCTGGCTCAGTCCCTTCCACCTGGCTGTGTGATTCTGGGCAAACCATTTGAACACTCTCTGCTCAGTTCTGTGTAAGCCTGGGAGGATGGTTCCCACCTCTCGGTTGGGGTTCAACTGAGTGAG